TAATTCACCAATGGTTGTTATATTATATATTGTTCTCTTCAAATTGGTTGTTCAGATTACCAGATATAATCATGCAACATTGGTCAAGAAGAAAAAAAATTAAGCATTAACTGTTCCTTTCAATAAACCATTAGACTTCGGTGGTACAGTTATCCCAGGTATCATTCTATGTACGTGTATATATTTTTCCCTTCTTTCTTTCTTTCTTTTTCTCCTTTCCCTCATCCTAGTTGTTCTTTCCTTTGAGCAATTTCTCTTTCATAATATCTAATGTATGTTTGGGTTTTATTTACTCTTTCAGTTTTTTACACTAGGGAAACAATATAATGTTTATACCTGTGGGTCTGATTTATTTCACTTATGAGTATAGTCTCTAGCTGCATCCATTTACCTATAAAAGCTTCGAGTTTATCTTTTTTTATACCTGAGTAATACTCCTCTGTATAAAAACACCATATCTTTTTTGGTTTTTGTTTTTTTTTTGTTTTTCTTCTGGTACCAGGAATTGAACTCATGACTTTGCACTTGCCAGGCAGGCGCTGTGCTGCTGAGCTAAATTCCCAGCCCCATGCCATATCTTTTTTATCCATTCCTCAGTTGATGGGCATTTGGGTTGTTTCCAAGATTTAGCTATTACAGATTGTGCTGCTATAAACATGAGTGCACAATAATATTTTACATATTCAGAAATAAAACAAATCAACACGGGCAGGAAAAATCCATGAGGATGGGAAGAAAACTGAAACACATGAACCCGTCCATGTTTCAAGTGAAAGTATAATCATACCAAAGAGAAAAAATACAATTAATGCAAGTACAGTAACTTTTGAAGACAGTATTTAAATATGTACCTTTAGTCAGGAGTGGGATGAAGGGAAGAACTTTAAGCAAATCCTGACTTTTTGTAGGTCTGATTTTTGAAGCGGTGTGGGTGGAGCAGTTCTGAGTATATTTTAGGTACATCGTAGGATGGGATAAATGTTAATATTTTGGAGAGTCAATCTCCATGTTGTGTATTAAGAATGGAGCAGGTTGAGGAAAAGTTACATGGGAACAGAGGAATCTGAAAGAATTTATAATTTTGTGAGAACTCATGATTTCTAAGATGAATGCGTGTGTGTGTGTGTGTGTGTGTGTGTGTGTGTGTGTGTGTGTGTGTTTTCACAAACATGTTTCCTATCTGTCTGCTGAAAGAGGCTGGAAGCAAAGATAGCCCAGTAGCCCTGAGAAGCTGTTGCCTACAATTAATAGTGCTACTTTCCTTACTAAAGAAAGCAGGACTGGGGGCTGGGGATTTAGCTCAGTGGCACAGCGCCTGCCTGGCAAGCGCGAGGTCATGAGTTCAATTCCCAGTACTGGAAAAAAAACAAAAAAGAAAGCAGGGCTTCTCAGAAATAGCTGTTTCCAGGGCAGAGGTAAGATAGGTATAAAGTGCATTTAGCACATCTTTTTGTATCAGAAAACAAGGAAGTGCTTTTTTTAAAAAAAAAAAAAGAAAAGAAAAGAAGTAAAAATAGAAAAGTACATGTCAGGAGGGCACAAAGGAGAGCTTGAATAGGTTCCATTGGCCACATTACACGTCAGTCAAATACAAACAGCAGTGAATTTTGAGCTATTAAAATTAGAAATGGATGAATTCATGCTTACAAGAAATGGAAGAAAGAAAAGGATGGAAGGAAGAAAGAAGGAAGAAAGAGGGAAGGAAGGAAGGAAGGAGAGCGAGGAGGGTGACTCTTGCTTGCCAGATAATGAGTTCTGATTGATAAATGTGCAGGGAATGATAGAGCTGGAAGTCATCATTTTGTATTTTGTAGCCATCATAGTAAAGATTGATTGAAGAAAGAATCATTAGCTTATGCTAAACTAGGGATATATTTTGATGAGGACTGGGATATTTGCATGTGAGAGAAATATCATGCTAGAATATCTGCCTAAAGATTTTTAGAAATAGCAGGGAAAATTGTTACTCTCCCAGGAGGGAAACCAGGCAACACCTTGATGGGGTGATCAGAATGGATCTTAGCAATGATGGATAGGGAGCATTGTGTGTCTCGCACAGCATTGCTTATTTTATACTGTGAATGGGAATGCATAACTTGAGCTTTACTGTGGGGAAATATCAGACAAACCTGACACAAGAATCAGATTATTCTAAAAAGCCTGGAAGCTTGTGGTTTTAAAAGATACCAGTGTTGCCAGGTACTTCTGTAACCCCAGGAGGCTGAAACAGGAGGACCGCCATGAGTTTGAGGCCAGCCCAGGCTACATAGTGAGTTCAGGGCCAGCCTAGACTGCTGAACTACTTAGCAAGACCCTGTCTCAAAAATACCAGATAAATAAATAAGTGAAGAAGGTGCCACTGTTTTTAAAAACAGTCACTAGAGAAATGGTTCAAGATTAAAGTGATATGGTTAATAAATGCAGTAAGGGATCCAGGAGTTCATCCTATACTGGACGGAAAGAATATTATAAATGTATAAATGACATTATTAGGTCAGTTCATAAAATCAAAATATAGTGGTTTACTTAGATATAAGCATGTGTCAGTATTTCAGTTTCAATTTCTTATAATTAAGACTACTATATATTTTCCTATATAAGTCTCTAGATAGACACGCATTTCCCGTAGCTGAATACCTAGGGAAAGGCTGGGGCAGGTGGCAGGCAGCGGGTGTATGTTTAACTTTGTAAGAAACTGTATCAGTGTTAAATGTAGGGGAGGGTGTGAGATTTGCAAATTTCTAGTACTTTAGAAAAAGGAAACGTGTGTACACACGTTTCTATTGATGGATATATCTGTGCTTGTGGACGGTATACACAGTGAATGCTAAAACGAATGTGGGGAATGTTCACAATTGGTAAACCTGGGTAAAGGTGTATTGGAGGTTTCTTAAAACTATCCACAAATGAAAAGTTAAATAAATACTGCAGTAGTTGAGGGTGGAACACCTTCTGTATTTTAAAGATCAATACTATGGCGTTCAAATCCTTCTGCACTATGAAGATAAATTGCTGTAGTTCTGGTAGCACTCACCATAGAGCACTGCCACGCTGGTCTTCATTTCTGTGTCTTAAAATTTCCTGCCATGGGAACAGATTGTTAAGCAAAATTCTTTTCCTGGATCAGTAGCCAAAACCCCTTAGATAGAATTGGAGATCAGCTGCTTTATCCACATTTCCGCTGCTTGGAGAATATGAAGTCGGTGATAACTATCAGGTTCTGTGTATGATCCTCCAGCTTCAAAGTGATACTGTGAGTACACAAGTGGTGTTAGAAGAAAAAGAAACGCACAGAAGATGTTAAATCCCAGATAGTTTAACCTTAAAAATCAGAGGTCACGGATTGAGTTGACAATTTTACAGTACATACAAGGAAGGGAAATGCTATGTAGTTCTCATTTTTTTGTTCAGACTCTGAACTAGACATAAATTTGCCCTAGAAAGCTTTGAGTTTTTGTAGAGCTAAATAAAGTCTGTAAAAACAAACCCCAGGCTGTTACTGTCAGAGTATATATTGTCCATCACTCGATAGTATCGCCGTTGTTGCCTTCCCTTGCAATTAGTATTTCTCAGAAGACTTCTTGAAGGCTAGTTCCAAATTAGGTGCTTAGAATGTTTAGTGTGTGTCCGGCGACAGTGTTTTCTGGACACTCAGAAATTGCTAGGGTTACAGAGGCCTGACTTTCAGGCAGATTATAAATCTGATTCCCAGACTTTTAGACGCATTGAGCACCAGCACTTGTTGGAGATTTTATTCATGTGCTAAATCTGTTTTTCTTTACTTTTAGCTTCAGCATTATCAGTTGGGGTATTTCTATAGATGCATTAGCATGGATAGAAAAAGTGATCCCCTCTTTTATATGTCTACTTCGTTTTCTCATAGCAAGTCCATCACCAAACAGAGGAAAACTGAGTTTCTGGAATACTGAGTCTCTGGAATACTGGTGAACTCCATGTCACATGGCTCTGAGAGAAAACTTTCTGGTATTAGTAATACAGAGAAATACTTGCTGTCATATTGGAGAGTCACAATGCTCATGAATCATAGACTGAGACACATCTCAAAGTTCAGTCCACTAAAAAATTGTAACACAGAGTTATGGACGATGGGAACCTTTTTTTTTTCTGATCACTATTAATGTCATGAGGAAAACTAACCTTAGTGATATGTGGATTGGAAATCTCTAGAAGAAACAGGAGGAAACTTTATAAGGCACTTCTAGGTGGTATAAGTTTTTAAAACAGTGAAGATTTCAGTTGTTTAGCGTTCACTTTTGTGTCTGCTTTAAAACATTATTTCTCTATTTCCCATGAAATCTTTATTTCATCCTCACGGTAGCTATAGTTCTAGGCTGTGTTCTGGCCAATTTGTGGCTACTCTTATCACTCTTCTGTCATTTTTGACTCATGACAAAGACAGATAGGAGCCTGAAGATACTCAGGGGATGCACGGATGGACAGAATTCGTGCACTGGGGTAGCTTATTGCGGCTTAGCAGCAGTGCTGTGCATCATAATCTGAGAATTTTCAGGAAAGCCTCCCTGCTCACATTCTCTTTCCCCACCTGCCAGCCAAAGCCTGACCCTCCTCAACTCATGTGCTTTCCAACAGGTCCTCTCTTCGAGTCTCTAAAAGATGTGAGGATTAATCCACACTCGGAAATAAATAGGGCTGGCAGAAGTGAGATTTATGGCCACTGGCCACCTTCGCTTCATTCACCTGCTACCTTGCTCATCCAAATCAAGCGGCTGTTTCCTGGCTGGGGCTGGTTCCTAATGGGTGTACACTTGCTGTTTTCTCAATTTCTCTTCTTTTTCCAATATTCATATTTCTTGGTCTTTTAAAATCTATTTTGTTCTATGAATCACTTGACTTTCCCTGCTAAGCGATTTCAGTCTACTGCTGCACAATGTAAAATGCAGGATGTCAGCATAAAATATTTATGCTGAAATGGCATTTGAAGTAAGTGATTGTTACTTACGTTCCCTTTGGCATGGCAGCATCTCCAGGCTCCAGCACTTGCTTAGCTGCTACGACTCCAGTGAACCAGTGTTTCTGGGAGAGCGCTACGGCTATGGTCTGGGCACTGGCGGTTATAGCTATGTCACGGGAGGAGGAGGGTAAGTACGAGCTCAGCTGTTTGAAAATACAGTTAGCTCTCAGTACACATGCATGCTCACGTTCCTTATACCAAATGCAGTGTTTGCGTTTAACCTGTGTAACTCTGCATAGGTCATTTCTAGATTATCTATAGTACCGATTACAATGTAATAGTTTTTTATGCTGTATTGTTTAGGGAATAATGCTAATAAAAAGGTATCTGCGCATTTTCAATACAGATATGTTTTTAAAAACTGTTTTTGGTCTGTGGTTGTTTGAATTTCTGAATGTGCAATCCACATAGAGAGTTGCCTGTAATTAAAACACCCAACGTCCCATTCCCGAAGCGGAGGTGAGTCTGTGGTGCTGGGATCGCTCCTGACATATGAGTGCTTCTTAAATGACACTTCCTCTGTAAAGGGAAAATGAACATTATAATTGTGAAATACGGAAAGAACCCACGGTAAATAACATTTTACCCCTTGAGGAAATAACATAAAATTATATGTCAGAATCCTTGGGGGAAAGAAATTTCCCTGTAATAGCAGTTGCTCTAGGCAGCCAACTAGTTTGACTGTCTGTTTAAATGTAAAAGATTACTTACTGATTTTAATTTGAGAAAATAAGCCACCAGACTTTTAAGTTATCTAGTGCTTAATAAATCACATTTGGGAAAATAGTAATATAGAAGCTTAGACTTAGGGAATTAGACATTTGTGTAGGATTTATAGGTTTTAAATAACAGTTATAGTCAGTCTTCTTTAATGAAGCACCTACCTGATATCTTATGAAAAAAGATTTTAATTTGATTTACATAGGTAAATCAATTGAGCAGTTACTATTTTCTGTTTTTACTATAGTCTTTGCTGTTGGGGTAGTTAGGGAGAATGTTAACTTGTTATCAACTCTGGTCAGGTAAATTCTTTCAGCAGATGTTTGTTGAATGTTCACTCTATGCTAACTGACTGTATCCAGTGATTATACATTTTTGAAGCATTAGGACCTTGTATTCATATTTTGCAATCCCCCAGATTAGAATGGTTCTGCCTTAGTCCATTTTTTCCAGTTACTATAACAAAATATCTGAGCCTGAGTCTTATGTAAAATAGAGTTTTATTTAGCTAGCAGTCATGGAAATCCAGTAGTGTGGCACTGGCATGTGCTCAGCCTTAGTGAGAACCTTCTGGCTGTATCATGGGGTAGGATGTATTGTGGCAGCAGTGTGTGCAAGAGGGAGAGATCGAGTCAAGAAGCAAGAGCGATTCAAGGACAGGCTCCCTAGTTCTATAATAACCCACTATTATGGAACCACTGAGAGTTTCTGGAGAACTGCAGTAATCCCTTCTAAGGGTGGCCCCCCAGTGACCTAATCACTGTCCACCAGGCTTCACCCCTTAAAGGTTTCCCTACCTTCCAGTGTCTCCACACTGGAGACCAAACTTCTATCACATGAACCTTCAGAGGATGCACTCAAACCACTTCCAAGCCGTAGCAGGTTTTGTCTAGCCCTTGTCCTCAGTAGAGGTGTTACATCAGGTCAGCTTTGTGTTCTGTCAGCACTCTTCTGCATCCTCGCTAATCACCTGTAGGTAGCCACCATCTCTTATGTAGGTTCCTGCTCCAGCCTCTAGCTGTTTCCACTTTTTCCCTTCTGCACTCTGTGCTGATATCTCCACACTGTAATCAAGAAACCTTTCTCTCCATCCCACCCTTTTGGGGTTTTTTAGTGCTGGGGCTCAAGTCCAGGGCCTCATACATGCTAGACAAACACTACCACTGAGCTGCATCCCAGCCTTCCTGAGAGCCCTTCCTAAAAGGCCTCATCCTCTCTTCTCCCTGCTCAGAGGCCTTTAGTGGCTTCCCATTGTCCTTTTCCCCACAGATGAGAACCCCTTCTTACTTTGGCATCTGAGATGAAGATCTTTCAGATTTACCAAAGATTTAAGTTGATTTGCGATTAGGCCTCAATTTTGATTGCCTAAGCGGTGTCCTTCTTGGGATGTAATGGCACTGACAGGTCTCTTTCATCCACTGCTCTGACCCTAGCTCACCCTGAAACTTGCATAGCTTGCTACTCACCTGGAAGTGGTTCCTCTCTTTAGAAGTTCCTTCATCTAGATTCCAAGGCATCCCCCTCTCTTCAGCAATTCCGTAGATAAATCTAATTTTTATTTTATTCATATGATTCTTTGTGATGCCACAGCATGAGCATCTGCTGCATCTTTGATAACTTAACTGGACCTAGAATTTCCCCCATTGCTTTTAGGGCAAAGCTGACACCCCCTCTCAAGACTCTCAAGGCCCCTCATGATAGGCAGACTGTCTTCTTAGTCTCATCTTTCTGCAGCCTCATTCTGTTAGTTACTTTTCTTGTTGCTGATTCAAAATACCCAATACCCAAAGTTAAAGGAGGAAAGGTTTTTTTAACTCACAGTTTGTAGAGATTGCAGTCCATAATCGGCTGGCTCCAAGGCAGGGTGGTATGATAGAAGGCTATGGCAAAGGGGCATCACAGAGGAGAAACAGTTCATAGCAGGCAGAAGGTAACAAAGCAACAAAGTAGCTAAGAAGCAAGTCGAAGGGACCTTAGCAGCTTCTTTCTGTCCCTTTTATATTCTATCTACACTACCAGGCTTAGGACAGTTCTAAACCAGTCAGCGGGCTAATTAGTCCACACACCCTTGATCCCAGCACCACACACTCTAGATCCGGCCACCTCTGAAAAGTGCCCCCCCCCATGACTACATGAGGGCCTGGGGGCACATCCAGACACAATCCGTAACATTCATCCTAAAGAATTCACGCAGAACATTTTGCGGTTCCTCAGAAATGTTCCTTTTCTTCCTAAATAAGGTACCTGATACTCTCTATAAAACATCTCGGCTTTCTGTCTACTAATTCCTCATTCTTTGGGATCAAATCAAGGTTAAACCCTCAAATCAGGGTTTAATGCCTTTCTAATATATTTCATAGCATATTATGCATGCAGTTATCACTTAATTGCCTGTTTACTTTCCAATTTTCCACTTAAATTATGAATTATTTGAAGGCAGTACCTGTGTCTTATTTTTCACTATGTCCCAACTTTGTAGCAGAGGGATTCATTTTTCTCAAGGTACAGTAAATAAATAAATAAACAGATGCATGAACACTGGGCATTTGATTTTTACTTAACTAGTATGACCTATGAGATGCTTGGTTTTTAAAAGTACTTTTACAAAGATGCAGAATGAATTCCTCATTAGATTGTCCTTCCTATCAAGTTTTTATAGAGCTTATTGACATAAAACTTACACTTTGACTTGTTTCCTCAGTGCTATACTAGGGTTTTCTTATAATCTAGCTTGAGAACCAGTGTGTCTATAGCAGGTTACGATCAGTGGCTCATAAGACCCATTCATGTACCATAACTAGCACTGTAAAATAGTAAAGTATAAAATAGAATAAAATAAAATAGAAAGTATCAAATGTATCACATGTGTCAGGGGTAAGTGTTGTTTTGTAAAATGCTCTTGTTTTACTCCCTATCTTAGTTACTTTCTGTTACATTCTCCTTGCTGGAACAAAATACCCAGCACCCACAACTGAAAGGAGGAAAGGTTTGTTTTAGCTCACGGTTTGTAGAGGTTTCAGTCCATAGACAGCTGGCTTCAAGACAGGGCAGCATGGAAGACAGGCATGGCAGAGGAAAAACAGTGAATGACAAGGCAGGCAGAAAGCAGCAAGAAGCAGTGGCAGCAGGAGCGGCAGGCCTCCCTTTCCCTCTGTATTCTGTCCAGGCCGTGAGCCTATTGGTTGGTACTACTCACACCTAGGACAGGACTTCTGTCTGTAGTAAATTCATTCAGCCACCCCGAGAACTATGCTGAACTAATTAGTGGACTAATCCAGTATCACACACCCATGATCCAGCCACTTCCGAAAAGCTCCACCTGTGAGTGCATGAGGTGTTGGGGGGACATGTAGATACAAGCCATAGCATTCCCATGCACAGCAAACATACAGAGTTGCAGTGTTTTTCTAGTTTTCTGAGTTTAGAGTCAAGTAAGTCATTGAAAAACCCCCTGCCTCACTCACCTCCTTAAGGGCTGAGTCAGAAGTGTGGGCTCCAGAGTAGAACTTTTGCATTTTTTGAATCCAAGTGCTGTTTTCTACTGCAAGGTCTGCTCTATGAAAGTTTAGGTACTTGGAGAAAATTAGTTGAATGGCTATTTTCATTTTTGATCATAGTTATGTACATATGTGAATTTTATGTACATATGTGAACCTGTGCCTGGGGTGCCACTTAGCTCCTATGGCAGCCCTGGGGACAGATGAGTCCGCCAGAATATGGTGGTCGCCGTGGTGCTTGGAAGAAGCCACAGGTGTGTTATTAAAGAGAGCCATGATCTGTCCATCTGCTGGAGACTGGGAAGGGCAGACGTGTGTCCGATGCACATTGTCTTTCTTGTGTGTTTCTCATCTCAGGTATGATCATGGGCAAGCCCCAGCCTCCCATTTCAGTTATTTTTAAAATTTGTACAATATGTAATAAAGGAAATTTTTAATCTTGTCACCGTTGAACGTTTCCTTAATATTTAAAAGTTGGTGTTTAAAGCAGAGAAGTATTCTTTTCCACTATGAGATAATGGGTAATTTTCCTTTTGGGAGGACAATTTTATATGGGAGAATCCCCACATACTGATAAATGTTATGAAAGGCCTATGTATACTCAGTTTATGTGAATAATGTAAGACTTCTGTGTGAGTAGGCAAAAGTATGAAACAATTACTCATAAAAATTTCACAGCTACATTTTGTCTTTTTTTGTGAAGTTAGTTTTTCAGAGACCAGGCCTTCTTCATTCTCATTCTGCCAGAGTTGGTAAAAGAACAGAAAGCATTTTTACTAGGTACTGTGAACACATATCCCTAACCAAGGCCCTGTTCCTGGGGTTGGTAGGTTGAGACCACCATGACTGACCCAACCCAAAGGTGTGTGGCCCTGGGAGCATTCCTCATGGACATTCTAAGAGAAAGGCTGTTTTTGGTGGATGTTCAGACTTGCAGTTTTCCTGTGGTATAGTTCACAAGAACATTTTTTCTTCTTTCTCTATGGTTGTATCATCTTAAATAGCTCCTTTTTCTGCTTAGTAAGTCACACTTCATTGTGTCATCTGATGTCTGGATTTTTTGACCCTGAGCACTTGGTGTTACATGGTGAACTGCACTGGACTGAGTCCAGCCAACTATGGACTCGCTGTTTTTGAATCAGGGATTGGATTCAAACTCTTGATCCTTTTTTTCAGTTCATAGAGCACTTCCTCTCTCAGGAGGATCTCTGCAAAGGCATCTTTGTTGTCATTTGTTTGATGTAGCCAGGTTTTCTTGAGTGCCTGCTGTAAACAAAGCCCTGTATTTGGCTCTGGGAATATATTCATGAATTTTAAGCTAGTTGTGGCTTCCAGAAAGACTTTGATGATTGAGAAAGAACTTGTGAACAGTATTTGTCCCTTCAGCCCTATCTACTTCCAAGCTGTTGATGATCTACAAATATTTGTTACTATCCCAGGGCCAGATTGGATGCCAGAACCCAGTGTGTATTTTAAAAAGAGAGAACTCATTGTGGGAACTGGAAATATGTATTGGGAAGGGCCAGAGGACTGGAAGGGAATGAGCGGCGTTACCTAGAGATCAGCAACTGTAGAAAGCAACTGTTGCTCTTGAGGCCAGCGGAGCAGAGGGAGTGCTGTTGGCTGGGCCCTTCCTGCAGGTACCCTGGCCCCTGCTGCTATGGGGCATTAAAATCAGTGATGCACTGGAACCAGGCCCCAGGTCTCTGCCTGAGCTTCTGGATGCCCTGTCAACTGCCTTAATGACAGAGACCACCAGGGCCAGAAGCAGTCAGGCTCCTCAAGTATTGGGCTCAGCGTTGTGAGATGAATCCAGGACCTAGATGACCAGGGAAGCTGGAAAAGGTTGTTTTAAAGTTTCTGGCCTCCTGCGATACTGTGGGGAGCACAGAAAAACTGGGATAGGCTGGAGTCCTCGAGAAAGTCCCTGTATTCTCATTCATATTCTCTCTCTCTTTGCCTCCCTCCCTCCTTCTCCCCTACCTTCTTGTTGCCTTAAGGAAACTTGTTTTTCTGTGTTTTTTTGATTATTGGTCTGTTTGTTTTGTTTTGTGGTGCTGACGGTGGAACCCAGGACCTTCTGCCTGCTAACGCAGCACTGTACCGCTGAGCTCCATCCCCAGCCCGGGAAACTTCTAGAGACTGGAATCACTTGCACAATGGATGGGTTTTTTTCAAATGAGGTTTCATCTCCTTGTCAGTTGCTATGGTTTGTTTCTAGATGTTCCCCCAAAGCCTCGTGCACTCATTGGTGGGGTTTTTCAGAGGTGGCTGGATCTAAAGTGTGTGATGCTGGGATTGACTCGTGTAATGCTAGGATTGAGGGCTCTAGGATTAAGGGTGTGAGTGTTGCAGGCTTGTCTCTTGTCCTTTGTTTGCTTGCTTTTGCTGTCTTCTGCCTGCCATGCACTGTTTCTCCTCTGCGATGCCCTTGTGCCATGCCACCCTGCTTTGGAGCCAGCCAATCATGGACTGAAACCTCTACAGACTGTGAGCTAAGTGAACCTTTCTTCCTTTAACATTGGGTGTCAGGTATTTTGTCTCAGCAGAGAACAAGTAATTAATATATGTCATGACATATATGAATAATATACATAGTATTTCTGAGCCCAGTTACCTGTTGGTAGATTTTGTTGCTGATCTCATCAGGCATTTTGGAACTCAAGAACTGTTCTCCTTTTCTGAATGTCATATTAGAACAAGAAGGTTGCATAACATTATTAGGAAATACTGCAATTGCCTACTAGGTAAATACATTGATTTTGCTTTCATAAAATGCATAAAAACATTTTCTCTACATTAACTCTTAAATATAAGTCTGCTGCTGTCAATTTCTCTTAGCTTTCTTAGCAGTGTGGCTGCTGGGTGATAGTCCTTTGTTCAGTTTGACCGGCTCTGTGGAGCTGCATTAATGCCTCTCTCTGTCTGCTCTATCTCCTTCCCAGAATGGTCTTCAGCAGAGAAGCCATCAGGAGAATTCTTGCCAGTAAGTGTCAATGCTACAGCAACGATGCACCTGACGACATGGTCCTGGGCATGTGCTTCAGTGGCTTGGGAATCCCCGCGACACACAGTCCCCTCTTCCATCAGGTGAGACAGTGTTTTTTATTTCTGCCTTGTGGGTGAGGGGGAAATTTTCTTCTCACTTGAGTATTCTATTTAATTCTCTTTTCATGTTTTGGAAATGATCTTGAGAACTCTGTTGACTGGCTCAGGACAGCACTTTTAACAGGTTGTATGTCTTTCATGTACATCATGAAGATGGAAGGCAAAAACGTATAGAACTCCAGATGATGCGGGACCAGTGTACTTGCCTTTGTAGAAGCAGGGAAAAGCTCCCCGCTCTCTCTGTCTCTCTCTCCCCGCTTCCCCCTCCCTTATAACGCCTCCCCATCTCTCTTTCTCTCCCCTTTCTTCCCCTCCCTTCCTTTCTCCCTCCCTCCCTCTCTCTGTCCTTAATTAATGACATTTAAAAATTATTGAGTGCTATCTGTAAATATAAAGGACTGTCCTAATATTGTCCTACTAGCTGTCAAGTGCAAGTAATCCTGCTCTAGCCTCAGTTTGTACGCTGTTCATCTGCCTTTTTTTTAAAACTGGGCCTTCTCCCCTTCATTTACTATTAAATCTGTTAAAATCTATTAAATCTCAATGTGGTATCTGAATATGTTTTACAGGTTACAAAAAAGAAGCAAAATAATGTTTACCGGGAATGATTAGTATTTTTGCTTCGTTATATGCATTTGGGTTCTGGAAAAAGAAATCTGTCTATATTGTTTTTAGCAATATTTTAAGAATCTGGTCAGTGGATGTCCTTTTATTCTAAGAGTACTAGTAGAGGTACATAATCTAAAAATAACCTCAGGCCTACATGCATCAAATATACTTCTTGAAGAAATTGAAAGCTTTTTGAAATTTGTATATAAATGCATGCATATTTTAAGTGCTCTTCTTCATCCTGAAAATGTGGTTTCCATGCTTTATTTAGTAAGCAGCTACAAATGCTACCGTAGCATTATAGAAAATTGAGCACCGCAGAAATGCCACTACTGAAAACAACTTATACAAGGCAAGGAAAATATTTGCACTATCAGGAAAGGCAGAATCCATTTCTATGTCCTTGAAACAGTAGGGGAGAATAAAAATAGACCTTTAATAAAGCGAAACTCATGAGAAGCCTCCTTGCTGGTTCCAGTCAGAAGGCACTTCTTGCTCTTTGAAGACCTGGAGAGGGCTTCCCCATCTTAACCCTGTGTGTTGTGTTACACTGACTTAGAAAAGCAATGTACTGTTGCTTTTTCTCTTGCTTTATCTCATGTTTTACCCAGCAAAGGAAGGATAATTAAAACTACTGGTATCTGAGGGAAGTAATTTATCAAGGTTAGTGTGACGTGTCTTAGATTTTTATAGCAACCCTTTGCCTTTGGGGGAAAGCACACATTAGTAAATAAAATGATAAGGAGAAAAGAGAGTAGAAAAATAATTTAATGCTTGAACAAAACTCCTTGAAAGTAATTCAACAAATTAAAAAAAACTTGTCTACCATTTTCCATACTTTAAAACTCTACTTCTCTCATCACACAATGAATTTTAAACCTTTCCAAAATCATAAAATATGTTTAAGACCTGTCCTTTCCAACAGATAAGGCTGTTTCTTCCAATTTTTAATCTTGTTTTAGAGAATGTGAAATGATTTGTACAGTACCTTCCATAATGTTTTCAACATGGAGCCAATGGTATATTTGTTCATATTGACAGAGAAATATTAGGCAAAGAGATAAACTCTAAAATTCTTGATGAATTAGATTTAGATTATTTGGACGTAGTCTCAGTGACAACCCTGCCTAGGCTACACTCCTTGCAGTTTCGGTCATTACATGTTATTGTGAATCACAGATCTACAAGGGGACTCCACAAATGTTCAGTCCATCCCTTTCTTAGCAGTGTAGTGTCTGGAGCACTGATTTTCTCTTCTTCCAAAGGCATATACCACTAATGACTATGACATTATATAAGGGTCAGTGAATTCTCCCCATAAAATATAATTATTAACCTGGACAAAATTGTCAAAATAACCCTGCCAAGATTCTAGAAATCAAATACCATGATAAACTGAGACACATTCCTGCAAAACTGCTCTCCTTTTGGATAAGAACAGTGGGGGTTGAAGCCATCTTGCTTGAAGCTGCCGCTATTCTTATCCTTCTCTACCTCCTCAGTTGATCAGAGAAAAATTCAGTTTTACCAGTGTGGGCTTGGCTGGAATAAACAGAACCTTTGTGACATAGGAAATGGACTTGATTTGGAAAACAAAGTAAAGCCCCACAGATATGTCAGCTTAAACTCTCAGTACTAAAAGCAAAAACCAAGAACAACCTCTGTCTTTACTGATCTGAGCTTGCAGTCTGAGTTAGGGAGAAGGGAGTACAGTAAGTCTCAATTTACCAGCATTCAAATTGTGAACTTTCACAGACAGGAATGGACCTCACATTAGGAACATTCATGGAGCCGAACAAATTATAGAAGAAGCTCACGTGTCTGCGGACATTGTCACAGTTGTGGTCCTGTGTGCTGCACAGGGTGACGGTGTGCAGTAGTACAGTGCTCAGTCAGAGCCCAGGATGTCCGGAAGCAGGATGAAAAGCAATGGTGATGTGGAGGGGACTCTTAGGAAGTGCAAAGCAATAAAAATGGAAGCAAAATGAAAATAATGTAAGATTTAACATTGTCAGGGTTACGAATAGTCTCCCAGAACAGAACTTGTTTGTAAGTTGGGGAATTGCTGTTAGGCAGAAAGGTAATGCTTATAGCCCTAGTAATGACACAGCTGCATAGGCTTTCCATGCTTCTCTGGCTGTTAGAAAACTGTGCACATGGGAGAGTGGAGTGAATCCAGCAGGAAATAAAAGCTGAGCATCTTTGAAAACAGGCTGCAACTGTCAATATGCTCTTCGCCAGTGGAAGCCTTACAGGCTTGAGATACTTAAGTACGACTTCTGCCTATATAATAACCCAGCCAGGAAGCTATGCAGGTACAGAGATGACTCGTAACAAGCCAAGCCAAAAACCTAAAAATAAGAACTAAAACTAATCATCAGTAATACATTACAGAAAGATTCCACAGTGTAAATCTAAATGTTACTTTAAAAAGAGTAATAAAGATAAATCATGTTTGTGTTAATACATTATCCAAAATTAGCAGTTTCTAGTAAATAATAGTAAGACATACAAAGAGATGAATTCAGGAAAAATCCAATGAATAAAAACTAATTTTGAGTCAGAGAAGACACTAACTTTGATAGATGAAAACTTCAAAGCAACAGTAAAAGCATAATCACAGAATTAAAGGAAAATATGGTGTCACAATGTACAGGGATTCCTTGTAGAAAAACAGGAGCTCTGATAAAGAACTAAGTGAGACATCGGTAGTCTAAACATCAGATAACTGAGATGAGAAATTATCTAGAAGGATTTAACAATATAGTTGGGATGAAAGAAGGAAAAGACAGTGAATTTGAAGAAAGATAAATGAAAATTACAAAAACCAGAAGAAAGAGAAGAAAAAGACTGCAGAAAAATGAGCAGAGCCTAAGAGATGTGATAAAACATAGCATTCCATCCTATGTTTAATGGATGTCCTAGAAAGAGAGGGACAGACGTTTCATAATAACAGAAGACCAGCACATCAAGAAGGCATAACAGTTATAAATATATAGTGCACCTAATGACAGCCCTTCAGAATACCTAAAGTATAGGCCATCATGTTAAATTTAAAGGAGAAGTAGACATATTAACCATTTGACCTACATGATACATAGACTATTTCATCTGGTAACTTAATACACATTCTTTTCAATTGTATAGTAATATCCTCCGTGATAGACCATATGTTGGTCATAAGAGAACTCTCAGTACATTTGCAAGGACTGACATGCTACAAAGCATATTCTTCTACAAAATTAGAGATGAAAAACAAAAAGTTAGAGGAATTCCAAGTATTTAGAAATTAAAATTTCTGAGTAGATCATAAAAATCTAAGAAGAAATTAAGGAGAAAATTAGAAAATACCTTGAATGGAATGAAGCTGAAAATTCAGGATATCAGAATGGTGAGTACAGCTACCAGTGATTAGAGGAAAATTTATACTTCTTTTTATTTTAGAAAAAAGCAAAGATATTTAATCAATAGTCTAAATTTCCACATTGAGAAGCAGACAAATAATATCAGATCAAACTTAAACTAAATAGAATGAAAGAAATATTAAGGAGCAGGGCAAAAATATCAACAAAGTAGGAATCAGAAAAATAGTAGAGAAAATCAGTAAAACCAAAAGGTAATTCTTTTGAAAATATCAATTAAATGTTTAGCTAAGTTGATCAAGAAAAAAGATACAAAAATCAAATTCCCAAAATCAAGAATGAAAGAGGGGACACCATTACTGTAGTGAAATTGTGTTAACATATTAGATGATTTAAATGAAATGGAAAATTTCCAGAATCACAAACAGTAGCAAAACTGTCTCACGAAGAAATGGAAAATGAATTTAAACCTATGTCCACAGAAGAAATGAATTATGGAAGGGGAAATGCTTTTCAGGTCTACCATAACAGGTAGAAGCCTGTTATGTCAAAGATTCATGTTATTATCCCTAGGGCCAGTACTAGGAAATTAACTTTAAAAATATGCCTGAAATATTAACAAAGGGATTAAAGTAATACATTGCAAAAAATAAATGCCAAGCCAGTATTACTGTTAAATCTAGATGCAAAAATCGTTAAAAATATTACCAAACTGAATCCAACAATATTAATATAATTAAGAAAATCTAGCACTATCTGCCGCAACCAACTGAGCCTCTTGTCGGGAATGCAAAGTTGGTTTAATATCCAAAATTAATTATTATAAGGCACCAAATGACTAGGTGAAGAATAAAAACTACATGATTGTTTTGGTAGACCCCAAAAAAATGATAAAATCTAATACTCCTCCGTGATAAAAACATAAAATATAACTCAGAAAAATAGGAGTGAGCTTTCTTAACCTATTAAGAGATCTACAAAATAACAAAATTGGGAACAAAGGTAGGCACG